CACACACACACACGCACATTTTCCAGAACCGAGCAACAGCAAAAAGCGAGTAAACTTGTCAGTTTTGCTGTCTCTCGATCTCGGATGCCTTGTCGGAGACCTGTGGATCTTCGACACAAACAGCAAGCAAAAAACGGCACTATGAAGCTTTTCAAGAGTCAGGGCACCATGATGCGGTCCAAAGTAAAGATACTATCTACGGGTACAGGAGGAATTCTCCTATATTTGGAAATGCCATCCAAGGACATTTTCTCATAGGAGAAACAACCATGATCGAATAAAACGATCGGCTGCAGTAGAATGATTGATGCTTGAACTCATGCATATTGAAACTTCAAAAACAGGAACTGCACCACAGAAACCCTCACCAAGATCCTTCAGTATTCCAGAAACTTTGATTTCCAGTATTGAGGGCCATAGAAATCCAAGGAAAATCCTTTGAACTTGAAACACCCTTAACCCCTACTCAACCCTGCAATCCCTAAACCCCACACCCCTAAGCTCTAAACCCAAAACCTACCAACACTAAATCATAAACCCTTTTGGGTTCCCCAACTTCTGCCAGTTTCAGGCCTGTTGGGTCTTCGTCTCAATGAGATCTGTGAGCTCCTGGAGCCCCCCCAACTTTGTGGCAACATATTCGGTGGACCCCCCCGCCCTGTAATGGTTATATAAGATGAATATAGAGAAGCGCTAACATGATTACCACTATCCCTTATGGTCACTATTGCTGGCTGGGGAATCCAGCTAAGAAATATACCATACGGCTTTGAATATGAGGGGGGGCGGATTGCGAACGCGGCTATAAGGTTCTACAAAACCTCCAGGGTTTTGTCAGCTGGTGACGGCTTGCTTGAGTTAAAGATCTTAAGCAAGTGTGAACCAACTGCTCTACTGCACGGCCCCAAGAAAAAGCAGGGCAGTAACGCTTGTACGAGTCTTTCTGATCCATCAATCGCTCTCGAGTCCAGGCGACATACCACATCTGATTTCTCAAGACAATCCCTATCTTATTTCTGGAATCCGCCTGTAACCCCCCCTTATCCATGGGTCCCAGGCTTGAGAAACTCCCCTGTGGGGATTTACAGAGATCATGCAGAAGAGGCTTCGTGTTGGGAATCTTGTTTAACCAACCCTCGTACAAAACTAAGCCTTGGACACCAAACCGCTCAACCCCAAACCCCTAAACCCCCAAACCCCCTAAACCCCCCAACCTGTAAACCCTTATAAACCCATATAAGCTCTTATAATCCCAAATAAACTCATATAGAACTCATATAAAACTCCCCAAACCCGAAGACTTCCGAAGATTTCGGGAGCGTGCCTGGCGCAAAGAGGCGAACTCCTCCTCGATTTTCCCACACAGGGACCTCGTTGTCATTGACAGGGTTCAGGCTTTTAGGGTTTAGAGAATAAGGTTCAGGGTTCAAGGTTTAGGCTTTCTTGGGATTGAGCCAGGTCATTGTGAAAAACGTCAACGTGAGTGGGACTTCAATCCCTGATGCTCTAGCACGCAAACATATGCGCATGAAGCCACATTACCAATAGCAGGAAGTTCCGGGCCACGGAAATGGCGAGGAGAGTCCAAGGTTCCGACCCTGTCTCAAGGTATGACTACTTGAAAAACTGATTGCAGCCCGGCAGCAAAAGCTAAGCCCTAAAAGACAAAACCTCTTGTGACTGCTAAGCCTTGAACCCTAAACCCGAGCATCAAGCGTGAGCTCGTCCGCAAAGGCGTTACGCACGTCCTCATCCAGCTGGTTGATCCGGCCCTCAGCACGTACAAACTCCCTCGATGGTTTTCAACTTTGGATTAAGTGTGCATAATAGGGGTATATAGGGATAATGGAAAAGAAAATGGAAACTACCATAATATATAGGGGTTATAGGGATAATGGAAAAGAAAATGGAAACTACTATAATATATAGGGGTTATAGGGATAATGGAAAAGAAAATGGAAACTGCTATAATATATAAAGGTTATAGGGATAATGGAAAAGAAAATGGAAACTACTATAATATATAGGGGTTATAGGGATAATGGAAAAGAAAATGGAAACTACTATAATATATAGGGGTTATAGGGTGTGTATATATAGGGGTAATATAGGGATGGACTTAGGGCTGCGAAGTTGCAGCAACGGTTCGGATGCAGTTTTGGGATGAAGTCAGGCGGGGTGAAGGATCCTCAATGCAGACCCCTCCCATTCAAAGCTACGTACTCTTCACCCCACATACCCTCTCCCCAGCAAACCCAGAACCCCTCATACTCGCTTAGTCTGAGCAGGAGAGCAGCAGCCTACATGAGCTATACTCTAAACTAATCTAAGTTCCTAGTATACCCCTCAGTAACCTATGAGAGGAACCCTTTTTAATCCTCTATGTAACCTCCCTTGAGAAGTTTAGACTATAGCTCATATAGGGTCGAGGCATGAGCGGGAGTCGAGAACCACGGAGCTGGCAGCTAGGACAACAGTGAGAGGCTTGTGTCGGGAAAGGCGGAGACAGGAGGCGGGAAAAAGTGGAGCAGTATGATTGTTAGTATTAATACTACGATTACTGTAGGTACTACTACTAGTCACTACTATTTCAATTTTCCTGTTTTTATTATTAGGCATCAGCTGAGATAGGGCGGAGGCGCAAGTCCTGAGGATGTTCATATCCACTCAGCAGCTGCTTGTTTAAGGGTGTATTTCGTGGCACAAAATGTCCCGAGGACTATGCAACACCATCTCATGGCACCGGTGCTTTTATCCCACCAGAAGGCGTGATGAGAGAGGTGGCTCGCAACAAATGTCCCTAGCACCATACCTTTCCATCTAAGCTTCTCGCAATATGAGAGGGGCATCTTCAACAACTCCCTTTGGCTCCCTCATTGTTTCTGGTTGAAGCCCTTTTTGTGACTCACAGCTGCTTCTCTGACAAGCGACCTTATCCCGACTTGCAAGCTTGTTATTTTCTGACTGGTGCCTTTCATTTTCCGGACTCATGCCTCTTTTTCCCGACTCGTGCTTCGACCCTGTATAAGTACACGTTTCAGGATTCCATTTCTTACTGGTTCTTCGCAGGGAATAACGGAACATAATCCCTATAGAATCCCTATGTAGTATGTTCCCGTATTTCCTGCTAATCCCCAGGAAGTTTTAGTTCAGGGGAGACGACCTTGATTGAAATCTGTTGGAGCCCCTTTAAATTGGGAGCCTCGGAACTCGGAAGCCACAAACTCCACACCTCTACAATGCTACAACCTCCCTCCATACCAAGCCTGTTCAACAGAAAACGACATCGCCTTTTCTAGACCTCAACGAATTCAATCGAACCCTTTCAGCATAAATCCAAGCGAACCCTGCGCCGTGAAACGCTGACACCTAAACTCCCTAACCTCCAAACCCTAATTCCATAAACGGTAAACCCCATAGGTGGACCCCAGTATATAAGATTCCTTACGATCGGAACTCTCAAAAAAGGTACCTAATTTTTGGAAACCCCGAAGTCGCCCTGTTTCCTACGACCGTGGTGTCTTCCCCTGAGATCCCGGCATCAAGTTCGCGGTGGCTTCCTGACCGCGCTGCTTCCTCATCAGCCAAGGCACCCATCACCTAGGATGCAGGGTTTAGGTTTGTGGCTTGGGGGTCGGTTGGGGTGCAGGGGTAAACGGGTTAAGTTAGTTATAGCTTGGTGTTAAGCTTTAGGGCTTAGGTGTAGGGATCAAAGGGTCAGGGGTTGGGGATTGCGACTCGCAAACGGGGATTTTTGGGGTTTAGGGATTAGGGTTCGAGTTTCGGGATTAAGCTTCCTTCGGGCACGAGGGATAGATTTCTTCGTTCTGCGGGTTTAGGTTCTTTAAACCGTTTGCAAGCAGTCGGACGAAGGAAATATGAGCTTTAAAATAAGGATCTGGGTTTATAGTGGCCTTTTCCTCATGTCACTCCAAATGTCTGGCGAACCGAACTTGGTCTTCTTTGTTCCTGGTGCGTCTTCGGGAAATGAAAACATCCTGGCTTCAGAGGGTTGAGGGCGGTCCCTCGGAGCCAGGTTTCAGGGCTTTAGTCCCCCTTAAGTAGATAGAATATGGGGTGTATGGGGGTCTTATTATAATATACCCAAAGCCATATTCTATTAAGGAGGACTATAGAAATAGGATGCTTGACCCTGAACCCTACAACGCCACGAAATCAAAACAGTGTCTGAGCAGGAAGCATGGATTA